CAATATTTTTTTTATTTTTGGTGTTTTTGTTCTATTTTTTTATTGTCTATAGAAAAACCTCTATGGCCCTTTCCTTCTTTTGTCTATGGTTTTTCTACACATTTAAACACATACTTCCACACAGTGGAAGTATGTGCATTTAAATTAATATAGCGCCATCTCGGGTTTAGCAGCATAAGAGAATAATGATTTTTTAATCGAATAATAATATTATTATTATTAATTTTAAGTTTCATTTGCGCTTTGATTTTTGTCATTTATGATTTTTTTTATAATACACTGAAAGAAATTTGTTGCTAAAAGTAAATACAAATTTATACTAAAAATTTTATACTAGTGCTTTACACATTTATACTACTGTTTATTATGAATGTATGTTAAATTTTGTAATACATTTATTTTAAAGAAGATATGTTAGATCTAAATAAAAATAAACTTACCCTTACTATAAAATGTAAACTATAAGTGAATTACAGCAAAAAAATATTGCTAGAAACACATTTATATTGCTAGGGCAGCAATAGGCTGCTAACCAAACGAATATATTTGTTTTAGCAATGTATGTGGTAGTCCATAAATGAAACATAAAATATATTTGCCCTAATTATTTTTTTATTTAACTTTAGTATATATTTCTTTCAGTGTAAATATTCGGAATATGATATGATATTCCAAAAGTTTCATTTGCGCTTTGATTTTTGTCATTTATGATTTTTTTTATAATACATATTCGGAATATGGAATATGATATTCCAAAAGTCCAGCTCATTATGAGCTGCTCATATATCTAGGATTAGAATGAAATTCTTGGAGAAAATTATGGGCTGCATTTTTGAGTTGTTTTGTTAAATGTTTTTTATTTAAATTAACTTTTATTTATTTTAAGTTTTCATTAAAATATATTTTTTAATTTTGTTGCTTTTATATTTTAAATATTTTATTTTAATTTTTCAAATGTACGGTAATTTTTTCATAAATACGGTAATTTTTACCAAGCAGGTACGGTAATTTCATTTTGATCATCTGGCAACGCTGACCAAAACTATAGTTATAGGCAGGGCCGTGCCGTGATATGATGCGAGGTTGCGGCCGCATCAGGCGGCACCGTAAAGGGGCGGCATTAGCAGCAACATAAAAAAAATATATAGCTACAATTTAGATTTTTCAATACTTAAAAATCTTTATGCAACACTTTTTTAGATTACTCTGTATAATTCCGGTATTAACGTAGGCATTTAGTAAGATTGACTCGCAAAAAGGCGCCTCCCCCGCATATCAAATAACAAGTGCAAGTTTATGTGAAGTAATTCTTTGGTATTATATACAACCTGGGTTTGTAATTATTTTAACAAAGAAATATATTTTGCCGAAAGTTTTGTAAAGGTAAAATTCAATTTTGTAAGGATTTTGTTAATTTTAAAGGTTACAGATTATTTTGTTAATGTTTAACAAATTATTCCGTTGAAAAAGTACACGTGATTTCAGGCAGCCAATCAAAACATTTCCAAGCACAACACACTTATCAACAAGTTGTGTCAGCTTCAACGGTTGTTTATAATATTTAACGGTGACAGGAGTGTTTATAATGTCATTATTGGTTTTCAAATTAAAATTAGGCAATATAGTGTTAATGTGTTAATTATGTTTTATTTAGAAAATTGTTTAATAAAGCAACATTTCTTGTACCAAATTCTGTTTTTTAAAGTTCCCAATTTACAACAAATACTTTTGATATTGGGTCTTCATAAGAGTTTGTAAAAAATACAAGAATTATGGTTGAAGTTGACATGGAATTTTGTTATTAAATCTACAAAATACAGTTGGTTGTAAACTTAACAAAAAGTTATGTGGACCTGGATAAACATAAAATCTGGTTATTATTTGGTTAAAATTAACAAATATTTTTTTACTGTGTATAAATGCAAAGAGAAAAACTATAGTTGTTATACATTACGTATACGTAATGTATCCCGGATGCTGAAATATTCTATGAAATCTTTAGACGGTTTAAATTACTTGTGCCAAAACAACTTAATTACTTTGTATCCGAACGCTTTTATAGTTTTGCGAATTTTATTAACACTCCCTGTATCTGTAGCTAGTGAGGAAATAAGTTTTTCAAAATTAAAACTGATAAAAAACTATTTAGGAAATTCAATAAGCCAAACAAAGACATCTATCATTATTATTTATTGAATCTACATTAGCTGCCACTCTAGATTACACATCTTTAATTAACGAATTTGCTAAAATAAAAGTTAGAAGAATAAAATAATATTAAAGTTCTGTTATATTTATGTTTTTTTTTCAAATTAAAAATATTTTCATTTTGTGCAGTTTTCTTGGGAATCTTTAATTAATTTAAAGAGAAAACATTTAAGGGGCGGCATTTCAATAACTTGCATCATACTGAAAAAATCTACCGCACGGCCCTGGTTATAGGTCTTACTTTTTAGGCAATTTCTTGTATATTTTAACATAAAAGACCCATATATAGCAATTATCACCATCACCAAGTTAATGGGAGCAGAATAGGAGGTGATAGACGAAATTAAAAAGTAATTAAATACCCATTTAACGACATTTTCTAATCACCGTACACGAAGAAAATAAAACATTAATCATTGATGAGCAGAACAGTAATTCACTTATTTTAAATTCAAAATAATAATTATTGTGCTAAAATGCTAAAATTAAATGTAAGAAAGGAAAAAATATTTTTTTTATTGTTTATAACAACAAAATGATCTTTTGTCCTTTATTACTTAAATTAAATAAAAGTACTTTAGCGTTTTAGGGTAGTACAGTATTGCTGTTGTCAAAGTAAAAAAGTAATTCACCTATTTTCAATTCAAAATAAAAATTGATGTGCTAAAATGCAGCATATCCAATTTAAGTAATAAAGGACAAAATATCATTTTTATTGTTTATAACAATGAAAATGATCTATTATCCTTTATTACCTAAATTGAATATAGGTTCTATTTTATAGGTACTGCATTTTAGCCTTCTAGGAAGTAGGTACAGTTCCTGACACTGTAGAGAGTATACTTGATGTCACAAAATCAACTATGGCTGTTGTCAAAGTAACCCGTGATGTTTTATTAGAAATTGTTTGATTCTAAATGGTACACTGACACTGGCATTGTGAATTAAGTTGATTAGCGCATCAATAATTAATAGTTAATGGTTGCTGTTTTATTTTCTCCGAGTAATTGTGCGCCGGAATTTAGATGATTTTAAAGAAAACCGGAATTTTCCAAAATTTATTTAGTTAAAGATTGTTAAAGATACGAAAGTGAATTGTAGTTATAATTTTTTATGCATTCACTACTTTCTTAAAATGAATTAGTCAAAAATGTCTAATTGTCATATTGAAAAAGCAGCCACTAATAATTTGTATTCCGGACATTTAGAAGTTAATTCCTATGTAAAATTGTCCGCTGAATCCAACAACATATGTTGTCAACAGTTATAAAAGTAGAACAGTTTTTGAGATACGGTCAATTTTCGATATAATATGGAATTAACTGAATCTTAAAAACTGATTTACTTTTATAATTATATTATACAAATAGTGAAAAAGCAGCCACTAATATCTGTAGTTCACAGCAATTGTTATAACAATTGCTGTGAACTACAGATATTAGTGGCTGCTTTTTCACTATTTGTGACAACTAGTCATTTTTCACTAATTTATTTTAAGAAAGTAGTCGGCATTTTCGAAGGTTTTATTATTATTTAAGGATAAAGAATAAAAGACTGTTTTCTATAAATAAAAAAGACTGTTCGCCGCTTAATTTTATGTTGATACAGTGCAATAATTTAATTGATAATTGTGATATTGATTTTTTTAATACAAGTATTAGGGAAATCCAAACTTTTTTTTAATTGTGATTTTTTGTAGTTTTAGTTTTAGATTTAGTTTATATAGGATATAACTTAGGGTATAGGCACTCTTACATGTAACAACAATTTTATATTGTGTTTGTTTGAGAATAAATAAATAAATAAATAAATAATAAAACTTTCTAAAATACCGACTACTCTTTTAAAATCAATTAGCCGCAGCTAATGCCGACTAACAGCTGATAAATTTAAATAATATATTAAAGTAGACGAGAAATCACTTATTTATTTTGGGAAGACTTGTAAGGATTATTCGGCGGTCTTTTTAATGAAAATGAATGACATTTTGTAGTAATTTTAGTAATTGTAATAAATAGAGAATTAATTACATACTCAATTTTTTAATTTTGCTAAAGTAAATTTGAATATCAGTGAAATTTTTCAGTCCTGACGATTTTCGTTAAATTAAGTCAAACATTTAAAAATTCAAACATTTAAGGGAATTTGTGTAATGTATTATTTTTTTCACCGGGCAAAAAATGCTCTAGCGACGCCATTTATCTTCAGAATATTTTCCAATATAAAAATGTTATTAGCAGTCAAATAAATATTAATGCCTTCGGGATCTTTACTTTGAAAAATTATGCAATCAATCTAACCTATTTCTTTAAATTATAATAACTTATAATTTATAATTATAATTTATAAGCCGAGTTCATATAGATGCGAATAAGATTCAAAAGTCGGCACTTTAATGATAATCACTTCACATAATGGGAACCTTCGCTACGTCCCTGTTTACAGTCCGTCCATCTATAAATCCAGCTTTAACTAAAAAACCATTAGATTTTTTGTAATTTTCTATTCCATAACACCATACCAACACTTATTTTTTTTTTTTAATTTTTAAGGTATTTCTCCAACATGTTTTATTTAATAAAATAATGCATAAGTCAATATTTTTAATAAACTAAGGAGCATTGTTTTTAAATTGCATATGTAGGTATATAATAAATTGCATTGTAAACGTGCATACTAGCACAATTACAAAGCAAGGAAAAGGTAGGTATTATGAATTAGAATGATTCGACCTAAAGTGGCCCATGCATCTGCTGGTTGTATTATCAAAGAGCAGACCAGTTAAAAGTTGGCTTGCATTCTAGTCTGTAGTGGGGGACTTCGAACTGAAGGGGGCAGCACGCAGTAGTCAGTTATTCAAGAGTGAGATCCAGTCGCCCGACTTTAACACAAAACATACAAAATAACCATATTTGTGACATAGTTATCGTAAATAATGAATATGTGTGATTTGGGGAAAATGAAAAGGTGGGAAATGGATTAATTGTGCGTGTCTAAAGTTCATAGCTGTCATGATCTAATTGAAATTTGAAGGTGAACTTACTCACCTAGTGATAAATATTTACCAACATACGAAAAGACTGTTTTAGTGATAATACAAAAATTAATACTGCCTAAATATGTTTAAGTTACTTGGAGGTTTAAAAGATTACCTTAAATACCAGGACATTATTATTGACTGTGCCATCTTTCGCATGCATAACCTCTTTACTACAGCACTTCTAATGGCATGTAGTTTAATTATAACCGCTACTCAATATGTAGGCAACCCCATCCAATGTATTGTTAGTGGAGTACAGGCACATGTGGTCAACACTTTTTGTTGGATCTCGTCTACATTTACTATGCCAGATGCTTTTAAAAGACAGGTATGTTTCTAGGTATAAATCACCACATAATAATAACACTGTTTGTTAAAAAGGCCCACAACAAAACGTAAAAATTCATTTAAAGGAAACATTTTTATCCCTTATTTCCAATTATAGCCAACAAATATACACGTTTAAACTACTTCAAAAATAAAAATGTCAAAAGTTAAAAATGGAAGTTTGGCAACATTGTGTAAGTTTATGAAAACAAATGCAAATAGGTACCTAGCAATTACATCCAAACAAATCAGACACGTTCTGCCCACAGGCCTTTGGCTTTAATTTGACCAGGACCCCCACCCTTAATTTAATAAAATTCGTTTTGTATAGGTCATCTTCTAAAATATATAGTACATACCTATAGGTATATAAAAATCAACAAATTGGGTTGGATTTAAATAAAAGTGGTAGATATATATACCACTTTTATTTAAATCCAACCCAATTTGTTGATTTTTTTTCGCCAACTAGATTTTGAGTAACCACTACATCTTTTGTTTTTCCTATGAGCGCCATGGAATGTTACATGGTTAAATTAAAACGGGTCACGGGGCTATATATATAATATAAATATATAAATTAACTTATATAGTAATATATGGCGGTCATTATAAAAAGAAAAGATGCTGATGGTAACTCAAAATATACTAGTGTAGAAATTGGATTAAAATATAGAAAGATGTGTATGTTTACATGTAATTTTTTTATTTATAAATTTTATTGTAATTAAGCAACTTTTCTCTGATATAACTGACCTTGTATTCTTCGTTTAATAAAAAATGCCCATATGTATTATACACATAAAAGGATACTTTGTGTAATCCAAAACAGTATTTTTTGTAGATTTATTATTTAAAACATAAAAATCTCAAAATTGATAAAAACATTACCTACTTGTACCCTTTCTGCAATCATCGATTAAAATAAATAAAGTTTGCTTTTCTTTAGCGTTTCCAGTCGTTGCCTCGTTTTGCCCTGTACAAAATTACTTCTTAATAATTATAACCTATATATAGGTACCTATAGGTACCTACCCTAAATTAAGGTCATTCTCTTAAGAGTTTATTAAAGAGGAAGTAGTTACTACTGTACTTCATTGCAGGTTTATAAATAAGGTAAACATATTTTTCTATAGCCGTTACTTTTTTAAATTATTTTTTTTCCTGGAGGTATTAATTATTGTTTTTGTCAATAGGATATATTTTTAATTTTTTATATTAATATTTGATTGATTCGTATTTTATGTATAAATGGTATTTAATTTTATTACTTTTGTTTCAGGTCGGTCGGGAGGTTGCCCACCCTGGTATAGCAAACGATTTTAATGACGAAAGTGCTCAGAAATATTATACATACTACCAATGGGTCTGTTTTGTGCTATTTTTTCAGGTAAATACTATTTCCACTTCCAGGGCGCAGATGCACTACTAGTAGTGCAGGCCTTGTAGCCACTCCGATAGTCAATCTAATTTAACCGCATCCTTACTCCCTTATAAGTAGTAGGTATAAATAAATATTGTCAAATTTTCAAAAAAAAATAAATGGTACCTACTACTATATTTTCTTAATTATTAGAAAAATAATAAAATATAAAAATCATTGGACAAATAAAGCGTCAAGGATGCAATAAGGCTTATTTGCGGTAATAAATGCATAATATATGCATATGCATAAATTGTTTTCAGTGTATTCTCATAAACATTAGAATTAAAATGTTTCCACAAGGAGTCGTTTTAAACAATTTATTTCTTAAAATAATTAGCTTAGGTTAGTCGATGCAAAGTCAGTATCAAATAATGTAATTTATAATAAAAAAAGGGTTATCTAGTTTTTAAGTATGTAATACAAAATAATAAATTCTGATAATTTTATGTGATATTTTTCTGAAAATTGTTTTTACCTGTCATCTGTCAGCGCTTTATTTGTCAATTTTTGACCAATTAAAAGTAATTGTTGCGAATATTAAAATATACAATATTCGCTGCAATTTGTATATTTCAATATTCGCAACAATTACTTTTCATTGGTCAAAAGTTGACAAATAAGGGGCTCTGACAGATGACAGGTAAAAACAATTATAGTAGTACTAGGTTAATATTTTTCAATTTTAAATTTTTGGTTTGATAAGTGTCCTCCGAATACCAATCGGAATCAAAAATATATGTCGAATATTTTGAGGTTTGCTAACAAGGTTCATATAAATCCTATAATAAAAGGAAACAATTTTTTAAACTTTTTAGTCCTTTAATGCATTTTAATGGACTTTTAAAACTAATCACAATAACAAAATAACAATTATATATTAAATGAAAACTAAATTTTGCTAGTTAATATTTTTACAATGAGGCTTAGGTGCCTTATTGCCCCGACCTCTTCAATTGTTGATGGCTGACGTAAACACTTGCATTGCGTCTTGTGTTCGGCTTCTGTGACATTTATAGACCCGGCTTAAATGGTTGTTTTAGACAGCCACAATTATTGTAAAACATCTTGGACTAACGACACACGGTCCTTAATTGAAAGAAGTTGACATTACAAAAAATATGTATTCTTGCTCAACATTTAATTGTAAATTCCTAGAGCAAAAACACTGCTATCTCATTGGTGACTTTAAATATTAAATAACTCCTGCAATTTTGGAATTTTAAAAAATGGCAAAAGTAAATTCCTCTTGGAATTTCAAGTGAAATTTACCTTTACCCTTTGGTTCACCAATTTTGGGATACCCTGTATAATATGTGGAAAAAAGTTTATGACCTTATAATTATATCCTTAATAGAATTTTTAAATTAAATAGACAAGACAGGAAAGAACAATAATAATTAACTTTATAATCTAAAATTGGGTTTTGTTATTTTTCAAGGTCATAAAAATAATTATTGTAAGGTGCATTTACGCGATTACAAAATTCTTTATAATACCAAGCATATGCTTTAATTTAAGCAAAATCATAGACAAGGGACAAAATGTACAATTTTTAATCTATACATATAAATGTTAAGTTTAAATTGAAACAGTATAGGTTAACATTTCATGGTATTTTAATATATCTATTTATTTTTTATTTTCAGGCGATGGCCTGTTACGTGCCAAAAGTTTTATGGGACCTTTTTGAGGGAGGATTAATGCGAATGTTAGTTATGGGTCTGAATGTTGGAGTTTGCCATGAAAAGGAAAAAAATACCAAAAAAGAAGTTATTATAGATTACCTTATAAGACACGTCAAGGTAATATAGTATTCATTTCACTTTTTAAGAAACAATATGGTGTTTAATTTATAACTGTAATTTTAAAATAATCAAAAATTTATTAAAATATTGTTATTAATAGTTATAAAGTAACTCTTTATTTTGGTATAAAAAATATGAAAATAAGCTGAGTTGAATAAATTATTTGCGAAAGAATTTTAGCCTTGAAGTTTGTACTTAAAATTATTGTGTCATTATATATCAATTACCTACATAAACAGGCCTTTTATAGGCTTCATTCAACCATTTGTGACTACCATTATTTAATTATTACATAATGAGGACCTGGTATATATTATAAATTATGTTATAAAATTATTTTATTTACCATAAAAAAGTTTTGAATAATACCTATAGAGGAAAAAACACAAACCAATGCTTTGTAACTTGAAATATCTTGGGAAAAAATTGCTATTTTGTTTATTTTATACTTGGAAGGTACCTATAACATTTGATTTTTGCCTCCTATTTACCAAAACACCATGTATTTAATGGTGGTGCAAAAAAACAACAATTTTGTTCGGGTCATTACCTAATGAATTTTTTTTAGTTAATCATGTTTTAAGAGCTCTTCCCAAAAATCAGCTCGATTAAAAATTTCTTGGGGGTCGCTCATGAATTTTGGAAACTCCAAAAATAGTCAAAACTTGAATTTGTTTTTATTTTTTTTGCTCGTTACGGTAAATTTTTGTACATGGAAAATAATAAGTTTCTTAAAGTTTCATCTCGCAATATGAATTTTTAAAGGTCTATCATAAAAATTTTAAATTCATTGCTTTTAATGTTTGCCCTTTAAATATACAAGAAAAACAGTATATACAAAAATGCTCTTTTAGTTCAACCCATGATACTACATGGTAGTTCAACCCTTACTTCCTAAGAAGTCCTAGAAGCCAACTGAATGGCTTGTGGGGGTTAGGGGTAGGAACGTGTCCGCGGGATTAAAGTCCCTTTCGAAGGACTAATACACAATAGGACAAACACAAAATACCAACCATACCAATGTGGGACTCGAACTCTCGACCTCCGACCTCTGACTTAAAATATATACGAATAACTAAATAAAATGTTTACATAAATACTTTATTTAGTATTTTGGGAGATATTTACGGCCTGAAAGTTCGTGAGCGAATAGACCTGGGCACTGCCCGCAAAAATGGATTTGGCTTCTAGGAACCTCATATATAACTAAAATGAAGGCCACGAGTGTTTGCCTTTTGATGATTTTATCAAGAATAAAATCGGCTTGTCCAAATAAACTCAATGATATTATGAGTCATAATTTATGACGTCCAATAATTGTTCAATTGCTTATAATATGCTTATAATGCTTTTTAATATATTATAATCATAATATATTATAATTTGATAATGAGTAAATGTAATATTAATTATTGATTATTAATACTTTTGTAGAATTTACTGTATACAGTAAATTCCCGCTATAGCGGGCAAAAAAGCATATTATTATAGGAGACTCAAGCATGAAATAAAGAATCCCAACATATTTTAAGTTAAAAAAGCATTGGTTAGGGTTTTTTTCTCTACAGTAATTATTCAAAACTTTTTAATAGTAAATGAAATAATTTTAAACTAAATTACCTATAACAAATGTTCAAAAACCCCATCATGTACTCCTGGCAATGCAAAATTGACTTCATCCTGAATTTGTTGTACAGAGCGTATGTTTTTTCTAATTAAAGAACCGCACATGTCCAAAAATTTAAAAAATGAGCTGGTTATGTTATCCGGTTGCAAAAAGCCGAATCTATCATTAGAAATTTCCATTTTTTTTTTAAAGTAACATAGACCCTGTAATTTAGTTAATTAATGAGCTTAAACAGTTGCACATGATAGTCTTGTGTCGTTTTTGTGATGTTCATTTCAAACGTATGCATTTGCTCAGCATAAACAAAAAGTTTTTAAGTGACTTACTAGATAAAACTTATATCATAGAAGTTTAATACTTCAGCTTAAACTTATTTTACAGGTTGCTATGTTTTCTTTAAGTTAAAATATCTCGCTAACGAATCCCGATCTCAAAAAAAGTTATTTATTCTAATGCTGTTTTATGCTTATAACATAAATTTCATATGTTAAATTGAATAGTATTCAATTTAACATATAAAATTTCTGTAATTTAGTTACCGAATACCCTGTATATACGGACATTTAAAAATTATGGAGTTAATTAAAGGTACAGCTTTAGCTTTTGCGTTTCCTCTAGTAGGGATGTTAAAAGTATTAAATTTTTGTTATAAGTAGTTAAGTATTTATTGGTAAAAATAATTACGTTTTTATACAATAGTGATGGCACGGGCATTACACTTAAAATATATTAGAATAAGTCAATAAAATGTGGACATAAATACTTAGTAGTATTTTGGGAGATATTTACGGCCTAGCGGGCAAAACTGGATTTGTACCCTTTGGCTCCTAGAGGCCTCATATATAACTATATATTATTTCTGTGGGTAAAAGGCATAAGGGGATAAGTCAAAAAAAGCAATTTTTCAATAGAGCCTTTAACGTGTTCGCATTAATTCAGGAAATATATTTATGTTTAGCGGGTATACGCTTTTGTTAGCATATGACATGTGCTAACAAAAGGGTATACACGCTAACCATAAATATATTTCCTGAATTAATGCGAATACGTTTAAGGCTGTACTGAAAAATTGATCATTTTGACTTATCCCCTTATGCCTTTTGCCCACAGCTTTGCTAATAAGAAATGAAATGAAGACCACGAATAGTACTACCTTTTGATGATTTTAACATTCAACAATTATAATTAAACATTGATACTTTAAATCAGGACTGGATTTAGAATTCTGAGGCTCTAGAGCCAATTTATTGTGAAGGCTAGGAACAGTTTTTCTATTAAACAATAAAAAACATTTATTTCTATGATGTTTTAAACTTTTCAATTTTGTATTTGCAAAATGGATTATCAAAAATTAAATCGCAAATACTCTTGTAAATGGGGAAGCAATAGATTTGTTATGCGATCTTGATTTAATCATGCAATTTATTTTTTCTACTCCCACCTTTAAAACGCCCTTTATCGTACATGTTGTGGCTTTATGGCGCTTTAGTCACGGGCTGAAGTTAGCAACAGTTTTTTAGTCACGGGCTGAAGTTAGTTTTAAGTTAGTTGACTGTCAAATATCATAAAATCATTAAAATAAAGTGCCTTTCTTGTAAAATAATACTAAATGTGAAAATTATTTTTCTTGCTACACGGCAGAAAATACGTTGTTTCGTCCCCGATTTCACGGCAGAAAGTTTACGTTTTATGCATTGGTCAAGGCTATACGTATTTTCGGCCGAGTTAGTAAGAAAAGTTTCATTTCCTCCCGCTACCATGACAACGCTACAGTTTGATTGATTTTGAATGTAAACGTCAGAATTAAATTAAACGTCAGATTTTAATTTTGACACAAGTTTTTTATACACATTTAATTTTTTCCCGTATTTTCTGCCGGGTAGCAAGAAAAATAGTATACACTACACGGGCGGAAAGTGTGAGAGCCCTGAATGCGCGCCATGATGCCCTCGGCTTCGCCTCGGGCATCATGGCGCGCAGTGCAGGAATCTCACACTTTCTGCCCTTGTAGTGTAATATACTATTATTATCTCAATACAAAAATACAAAAGTATTAAATAGTTTCTCAACGTCAATATTTGAAAAGTTTATACGAACAATGTACTGACCTTTTAATTTCGCCGGCAATAAACTATAACTTAAATTCGGGCACGGACTCCACTGTAAAGTGCTCATAAAGCATTTTCTTTACTTTCACTGTGAAAAACTGTAAATTTTCAAGAAATACATTTCAATTTATAACCTTTATATAACCTTTATTTATGTATAACCTTTATATATAACCTTTATATAACCTTTATAATCTGTGTTTATAAAATATAAAAATTTGACATTTGACGGTGACACACAGATTCCCCTATTGTTTCATAAATCATTTTAAGATAATAATAAGTATAGGTATAGTTGTTTTTAAAACAATAGCACAGTCACAAAATGGACTGAAAGTCAATGTGTGAGGAATTTTTAATACATTTTATTGAAACCTATAGACAATTTCCTTGCCTGTAGCGTGTTTTTTATGTTCGTTTTTTAAAATCGCAATAGACCGCTGCCACTGCTAAAAAAAAGTATTTTTCTCCATGACGAAATAATTTCGGCACGAACAAAAATTAACCGCCAGAATTTCTCCTTATGTGTTGGCATTGCCATACTGACTTAAATAGTATTAAATATACAACGTTCCAAACCGCGGCGATAAAAACGGTTAAAAAATAACAAAGTTTGTGCGGGCCTTTAAGGTTTTATTAAGTCTCATCAGTTTTTATTTATATGCCACGAAATTATTCATTGCACGACAAATAACAAACTCAGTTGGTCCAAAAAACACGAAATCTTTTAGCGTTCTATAATTTAAACTTTATTATTGTCAACAATCACTACTAAAGTGATTGATTATTGTCTAGGCTGTGAAAATAATTTGGACTGGTCAATTGGGTAAAGTATCGTTTAGCAAATAAAATTTTACCTTAAAGATAAAATGTTGTATGCCATGCTGAGAAATGTATTTTTGTACTTCGCCTAATTGTAGGCCATAAGGACATAAATAACTATTATATTATACCTGCATCATAAACGTCATTATACGCACTTAAAAACGGGCGTAAAACCCCTAAACCAAACCAATAGATGACTATCTTAAAGAATATATAGTTTGGAGCCAAATGAAGCGCCCTCTCTGAACTTGGTTAAAAATTAAATTACGTGTTTACAGGCAAATGTTGCCAACATAGCTTTTAATTGGTGGAAAATCAACGTATTTGATTGGTTACTTCAATGGCGCTATATTTAAAATCTAACTTGTGGTTAGATTTTAAATGTAATTAGTAACGAAAACAATAACTTAGTTTTCTACCATGTATTTAAGGTACTTCTGTGGTTATGCTGTTTAGTAATTCTCAAGCAACTTTTATAAGAAATTCGCAGATTTATGGAAAAGCAATGAGGAAAACAAATGTATGTAAATGTAAAACAAGTGTATTTAGTATTCATTTGTAAAATCTGTGAGTTTTTTAATTTGTAAAACTCGTTAAATCATTATCACACTTATTCCCAAAAGTACCATTCATATATGGTAAGAAACATTGTTTTTGTTATTTATGAAAGTCTACCAAAAGTAACTGTCTCATTGATCATTATTTTGAAATTGAAGAAAACTGTTAAATCCATAAATTTTATTAAATAATACATGCCTACCATCTGAAAGATTATGATTCGGTCAAAGTGTCGTTTATAAATTATTATTATAATACAAACCTTAGAAACAATACACAATAAAAACACACAAATACACAAAATCTTTAAAAAATGCGATAACTACGGATATAATTCAACGTCAAAAAGGTTAAAAACGTCAAAACATCAAACAATTATAAAATCCGCGCCCTCTCTTGGCTTGGCTAAATATTATAATACTGTCTCGACATCCGACATAAGATATTCATCTATTGGTTTGGTCTAGGGTAAAACCGCTTTAAAAACGGCTTTATAAACAACAATGAAAATGTCATATGACAATAACAAAAGTTCAATTCCCATGTAAAATGTTCATAACATATGTTCAAAATAATTTGTCAAAACTCTATTTATTTCAAGTTTATAATGCAGGTATAATCACAATGTGTGGATTGTGGGTATAATATAAAATAGCGTTAGCGTTACGCGTTTATAAGAAGGTATTTAAAACACTCAAGGCGTTAAGAGCACTTCGCTGCCGAAACGTGTTTTAAAACCCTTCCTATCAACTTTTATCATAATTTATTTTTATGTTGCACAACATAATATCTACTTTTTGCAATGCAATACCTAAGACCAATTCGCAGGTTTTTATCAATATAAATCTCCGGAATATAAATCGAATTCAGGTCATATTTCATACTGGCCTAACTCCGCTGGCCCCGTGCTTTATTCGGCCCTGAAAAAAATCTAAATATTAACTCGATTTTATGCAATTAAAAAATAAATTAACTAATTATTACTTTTACTAGAGCCTCGATTTACAGATGTGTTTTTAAAGATCACGTGTATTTATTTATGTTATTGTATTCACAATGACAGTTTTCTAACTTAAACAACGAACACACAATGTGTCATATAGGCACTAAAACCAAAACAATAAATTATTTTATTAATAAATTAAATATTATTTTTACAGAGACACAATATGTATGCTCTAAGATACTGGGCATGTGAATGTTTATGCCTTATAAACATCATCGTCCAACTGTACGTAATGAACAAATTCTTTGACGGGGAGTTTCTTTCTTATGGTTGGAGGGTTATGAACTTTTCTGAACAATCTCAAGAAGATAGAATCGATCCTATGGTATACATCTTCCCTAGAGTGACCAAATGCTTATTCTACAAGTATGGTCCTTCGGGCAGTATACAAAAACATGACAGTTTATGTGTGTTGCCTCTTAACATTGTAAACGAGAAAACATACATTTTTATCTGGTTTTGGTTTATGATATTGGCAACGCTGCTTAGCATTCTTGTGGTATATAGAGTAATAATTATAACCTGTCCAAAAATACGACCGAAAATTATGCATGCGAAAAACAGAGCCATACCAATCGAGGTTTGTGAAGCTTTAACGAGGAAAGTAGATCTTGGTGATTGGTGGATATTGTTAATGTTGGGAACAAATATGGATCCCATGATTTATAGAGAAATTATATCTGAGTTGGCGAAAAAAATTGAGACAAATGCAAGCAATAGTTAAAGATGCCTCATTTATAAGAAAAGCTTAATGTAAGATAAAATGAAGTTTAAAACAAACTATTTATACAAATATATAAACCAACAATATAATTTTTCTATTTTTAAAGAGCTGTTGTCGACCTAACTTGTAACACATTAAAAAATGGTGTAGCTCAACTACCATAAAGTCATTATTTATATAGCATGATTGTTACGAAAGCAATTTATTTATATGACCAATGATTACCTATATGATTAATGGCTTTTAATTCCAGAATCATTATTAATATGTTTAAAGACAAGTGTGCATTAATAACATTCTTAAACATTCCTTTTTGGACCACCTTTTTATAAAATAATAAATAAGAAAAAGCATTGAGATACCTATATAATTGTAGATTATAATCGCTGAATTAAGTACAATATTATTATTTTAAATAATCATGTCATGACATTTTTTATTTATAATTTCTATGGTTACTACGATAAACTCAATTAAAATACTTATGTTATGTATTTGTGTTATTGAAATACCTACTAGTAAATTTTATTTTTATATGGACTTTATCAGGGTCTAAACTATGTAATTATTTAAACTAAAATATTAGTTGAGGTTTTATAATTTAACTATAATTGTTGCTTGTGACAATTTTAATTATATCTTTTACAAAAAAAATTATTCAGCTAAAAGTCCAAATAAAAATAAAATTAAGTTATACTTTATTTCATTTTTATAGCTATAGGCAAATTGAAATTATTTTAAAATATTTATATATAAACTGTGATCTGCTGATAAATTAATTTGTCATTTACAGCAGACTGTATTTAATTATACTCGTATAAAATTCGATTTGTGAATGTACCTATACAATTTTTGAGAATTTTACACTAAGATTTTTATTATAAATTTTACATTATAAGTTAGTTATTATTGTACAATAATAAATTTAGTCAAATTAAAAGTTATTTTTTTACTATCCCAATATTTATTGAACTAAATAAGTCATGTAAGTACCAATTGTAATATCAACCTTCTCTCTATATTATTTCAATCAAGGAAAGACTGCTAAATATTTATTACCACCAACTATTATACTACAGATTATATGGTCTATTTCAGAAATAGGACGAAATAATAGGATTCGTGGAAATGTAAGTATTCATATTTTATTAGTATCATATTGAGCTAAAGACAGTTCGGTTCCTAGCAGTGGTAGGCTCGATATCTGGGAACAGATACTCTTTCGCCATTGCACTTTGGAGGGTATCGCCCGATCTTTAGCTATGCGTTTTGATCAGAAGGCCCTGCAGGTTACCAGAGACTGCTGGTTACTGCCTCTAGTCTAGATAGGCTCTAGATATATCTAGCCTATAGGCTCTAGAGTCTAGATTATGCATATTACCCGCTTTTGCACTAGCTAGTTCGGCACGACTCTACTAGCACTGAAAACATAGAGTTTAACGTGGAATTCAAATCAACGGCATCGACGGTGTTTCCATCCACTGGAAACCAGACTTACTTTTTTAGGTTAACACCCACACAGGACATGACAATCCATTGGATATTCATTGGAGGACATTTATGGAAATCCATAATATCCAATGTGTCCATGGATACCCATTGAATGTACATTGGACTTACAGTTAACAGAAATATCTAGATAGCTTCAGGTATTGTGATATGTAAGCTGGCATGACATTATGATGTCCCACGTCAAAGTGTTCACTGGGATGTCATACTTGGTCATACTTATGTATATAATTATATACAATATAATTACCTACAAAATTTTTATATCGGCGGTTGCTGTACGACGTCACATGGTCGTACAGCAACCGCCGATATAAAAATTTTGTAGGTAATTATATTGTATATTGTAATTAATTACGATATCACGTGCTCAGGGCCGGATTTACGGTGTTTAGACCCCCAGGTTAAAATTAAATTAGGGCCACTAATCCTATGGGAAATGCCTTCCGGTGGATTTGGCTATATTTCACGTATATTGCAGAACATAGGTCGACCTATTATTAGTACATTCTTGAAAAATAGTCACTGCTAGAAGACTTTAAAGTTGTCATTTTGACTGTATATTTGGCATTTTATGTTTTTCCCAAGTTGACTGTCGTACCGTATCATCAAAGGTATCTGTTGTCGCCAAGTATTGCGCCATGGGTTGGTTTAAGTTGTGGATGTGACTTTGGTTACATAACCTTTATTTTGCGTCATTGTTAGTTGAGAGTCTCAACTTAAGACTTTCGATAATATCTTTGATACTTTTATATTAAAAAATAGTTATCCATGATAACTATAACAAAAATAACATAACTTAATAATAATAATTATACAAAAAGTGATCTTTTAGTTCCACCCTTACTTCTTAAGAAGTCCCATAAGCCAACTGAATGGCTTGTGCGGGTTAGGGGTAGGAACGGACCGCGGGCTTAAAGTCCCCTCCGAAGGACTATAACACAATAGGACAACACAAATAAACATCCATACCCCTGGTGGGATTCGAACCCACGACCTCCGGCTTGTAGTCAGCAGCACTAACCACTATAGTGGTCTATAGACCACCGTCGGCGATAAAATAAATAATAAATAAAATAACCAATATAAAACATACATAAACAACATACAGATAATATAAAAGAAAATTATACAAGAATAAATACAAGAAGAATGATATAAAAAAAAGAAAATAAAATAAGAAATTATAAGAAGAAAGATATTCAGGGATTTTGGTGGAATGACAAATTAAAATTAAAAATACTTATTTAGATAAAATTTAAATTAAATTTATAAATAAATAATTATACCTACATAATATATATATAGTATTATATAAATAACAAAATAAAGGAATATAACTGTAAGTACAATCTCTTCTTTTATTAACCTGTGGTGCATTGATACACCATATTTTGGTCCTTCGAGTCGGATTTTAAAATCCATTTTTTGATACAGTGCACTAATAAAATTTTATTTATTTAGTTAAAAATTAAATTAATTCTAAAATGTCAAATATGTCATTATAAGCTATAAATGCAAAAAAAGACGCAATATTTAATTTATTTTTAAATTATAATGACAATTCCAAAAAAGACAGAAACTAGGAATACACAGAAATTTATGTCAAATACGTCAATTTTAGATACATTATATGATCAATATTGATTATACATAATAATTTAACAGATCAAGCTAATAATTTAGAATTGGATATAAATTCAGAATATATTCCTAGTTTTGCAAAATGGTCGAGTTTTGTAAATTTATATAGGCAAATTAAGGAAGTAAGAAATACTGTGTTGGAGGGTCGCAGGGTTTTGCCATAAACCCAAAATTCTTCAGAAAAAGAGCCCTGTTTTAACATTAAATTACCCCCAATTGAATTACCTAAATTTGATGGGAATCCTGAAAATTGGCCTTTGTTTTTTGAGGCATTTAAATGTAATATTCATCTAAATTCAAATTTAAATGATTCGCAAAAAGTTCAATATCTTATGGGAAAGTTAAGTGGCAGGTCACTTACTGTTTTATCGGGAATTCTTTCTAATGAGGAAAATTATTTAACAATTTGGAATTTGTTAGTAAAAAATATCAAGATAAACGCGCATTTGGTACATTTTATTTAAATAATATAATTGATATTATATTGCATCTAATAATTCCAATCAATTAAATAATTTTATAGAACGTTTTTCTTCCTATTATAATATAGCGCTTTGAAACAAATAAATATAACTGACCTTTCGGATTTCATATTTCTTTATATGGCATTAAAAAAGCTAGATCCTCAAATTATACAATCATTTGAAAATTCAATTAATAAAGATATTCCATCTTGTGAAGATTTAATTGAATATATTCGACAAGTTAAAATTTTATAACGCACTAACTCACATTTAGGGTTAAAAACACATAACACCCTAACACAACATATACCACATTCAACTACACGTTAATTTGCTTTAACAGATAGTAAATCTTTAAATAATTTATTATTGTAAAATTTTTAATAAATCGAATCATTCAAAACTATATGAATGTCAGGTATTTAAAAATATGACACCTAAAGTCAGATTTGTAAAACTTAAAGAAATAAGACATTGCATTAATTGTCTGTATCCAAACCACACTAGTAGTAAATGTAAATCAAGATATTGTTGTAAAAAATGCAATAAACGTCATAATACTCTATTGCATTTTGAACCAAATAAAATTAATTCTCAAAATTATATAACTTCTTCTAATGTTTCTTCTTCTATTAAACCTTTAACTCAATCTATAACTATGCATACTCAAGCTTCTTTAAAATTAAATACTACTGTATTATTATCAGTGTTGTAACAGTTACAATATTTTCAGTATCTAGCTACAGTTACAGTTACTTACCAAAATTTGTAACTAGATACAGATACAGATACATATTTTATTGCAGTAACTAGTTACAGATACAGTTACCTTCAAAAAGTATCTAGATACTTTAAGATACATACAAATTATTTTTTGCTTTAAAAAATTTAAAATAGAAATAAAAGGGAATGTTTATTATTTTTATTTTTTTATAATATTTTATTTAAAATAACTTATTTTTTATAATATTTTTTTTTTTAATAAATAATGGTCGCAGTTTAATTAACAGTATTGCCTTGACACTCGAAGTGGATAGCAGCGTATACTAGAGAAACGTAATAAAGTTCCAAAAACGAACCTAAGTATTCGGAAATATCGGTAATCGGTAATAAATAAATAAATAAATAAACAATCAAGTGCGGAAAGTGTGATAAGTGCAAAAAAAAACCGTTCCAACTGGTCAGCAGGGATAGTCACAACCAAAGCCTGTCAATAACCTGCAGGGAGGTCCAGAAATAACGGACAGACCGTGAAAGACCTAGCATCAGGATTATAGCCTAATAATCAAGCTAAGTAATTTTTCTAACTGCATGTCTTATTAAAAAAAACCATTTTATTCCAAAAAATCTAAAGTAAAACGTATTATATACCGAAAAGTAAATTTCAAGCCCCAGCAAATAAACATTCCTATTGAGACAGACAACACTCAAATCATTACATAAACAAAACAAAAAAGGCAGATAAGACATTAGCTCCACCCCCCAAATAAACACTCGACTAATACCATAAATAAACGCCAAACCATAAATAATAAATAAACACAAACCATAACAAACATGGAAATAGTAAACACGATTGATCATTCGGTGGGAATAATTAAAATTCCATCCGACGGAAATTGCTTAGTGGCCAGCTTGGCTCATCAACTAGATAATAGCCTGACTGGGTCAACAAGTACATACGCATTAAGACAATGACTAAATAACCACTTACGAACACACATTGAGACATACAGCCCATACTTACAGGATGCGATCCTTGACCAACCCCACCGCTACGCGCAATAACGACTGGGAACGTAAAACAGAGGCGTACCTAAAGGACCACGCACAAAACGGCTTCTGGCTGGGTTTGGAAACAATAGCAGCATCGGACATATTTAACGTCGCAATCGAAATACATCACGAACAGGGGCGTACACGGAGAGAGGAATTTTGCCGAAA